GAGCATGCTTTTCAGAAACAACAAAAAGTGTTGCAACATTTGTAAGGCATGTCAAACCTTGAGAAGGCACTCTTTGTCTGTCCCTAAATAAACTCAATCTGATACTAAAGTATAATCTAATCAGGAAAGGCACGACTCACTTGACAGTAACAACACTGTTTCTATGTTACTAAAAACGCTCTCATCCAACACTTCCATAAACTCTGTGTGTTGCTCAGCCTCCACTCTGCTGTTTTACTGCAGTCCAGGTTTTTTTCTTGGTATGGAAGCTGTTCTGCTTTTTCTTATCCGAGGGGGTCAAAGTGGTAATGGCATTTTCCTGCCAAATATATGCAGTAAATCTCACTTTTTATAGCTCGTCTGAGCTCTTGTTGTTCCAAAGCAGCTCTGACACAAAATGAAATGCTCGTTATAAGCCTCACTGCTGAATGTCTGCTTGCTTTCATTGCTCATCAAAAAAGAAAATAATTTTTCCGTGGTGCATTATGGCTGAAGCCACACGCTTTGTAAGAGTCTAAATCAAATTTAATTTAATGTAAAATATGCCAGTGTTGCTGGACAGATGGGCATAATGCAGGTTTTATGAATTAAGAAAACGGCGTAATTTAAAAACAATATTTTTTATTTATTAGACGAGGGATGTATGTGAGAACTTTAAGAATTATTTTAAATCATGAAAAGCCTTGTGTTTGTCACAACCTTTACACAAACTGGAGAACCCAAATGCACGACCCAGAGACAGTCTTGAATGTTGCAAAACATTTCCTTTTAATTTCAAGAAAATCCCTCTTAACAGAGTAGGTACTGGATTAAACAAAAAGCGCAACAAAAAGAGAATTTAAGATTAACTTAAGTCTGCAAAAAATAACGAAATAACAAAACCTGACTAGACCGGAAATGATCCTCTCTTGGCTGAAGCCTGGCACGACCATCCATGGAAACAAACAAGACGAACTGACAGGACAGGGGGAGACAGGACTATTTAAACATGAGGTGAGTGGGAACAGGTGGAAACAATCAGGGGCGGGGCAGACACTGATGATGGTGGGAAAACACACGAGGGGAGGAAGAAAACAGGGCCTGAAATGAAAGACAAGAGGTAAATACAACATAACAGGAAATGACAGACAAAATACATAAACATTACGAACACATTTGACGAGACACAACAGTGTTCTCTCTTATGAGCATGTGATTGCGCCGTCCAAATGGTTTCAACACTTTTAGGGCTGCATCCAACAATTCATTCAATTATTGATTCATCTGTTAATTATTGTATATGATTTTCTATCTCTATTTCTTCTCTTTAGCCTCGAACTATCACCATGAAGACTTAAGACCAAAAATAGTGTTTTATTTTTTATTCAATTTTTTACATTGTTTTTTCTGTTTCATTTATATCTTTCTATTTATATATTTTCACGAGTTCCTGCTTTTTTATTTAACTTTCTTTTCTTTATAATGTCTGTGTTTGATAATGAATGTGTCATATTAATTCTCTTTGTAAAGTTCTTTGGTCGACGTGTTATCTTTAAATGTGCTCTATAAGTCTTTATAATCTTAGGACTGATTTGCCACCATGATCATTTTAAAGCTCTCAAATAAAATATGTCTTAAATGTCTTATTGCAGGTGAAGGACCTCTTTCATTATCCCTTTATTCAATTCCTTTCTACTGTTAACTATAAACAACTCAAAAATCTACTGAAACATCCCTGTTACATAACAAGTGAGTGATGTGATATGTGTAAGAAGTGAAGAGTGCTTTGTGTAAAGGTGTGATTTAAAATGTTATAGACAATCTGTAAATCTATAAGGTGACATTCATGCTTCCTTCCTGTCTGATCTAACACAACATTGACCGTTACAGTATCAGTAATGTAAAACATGATATTCACATTACATAACATGGGTTTCTGCTCATTGATTTTTTTTTACGATACTGATCTAGAAAGGGTCAGTAGGGGTTTATTCATTGTTTATTTACACTTTTCAAAAATACTTCAGGCGATGGGAGGGGGAATGTGATGCAGAAGTTTTTTTTTTTTGCTTGGTAATTGATTCCATATTAGCCTAGCCTAGCCTGAGAGCGTCGGAGAGATATCGCTGCTGCGCTTTCTCCAGCGTGGGCTGCAAGAGCACAACTTCAGAGAGTCAAGACACAACACAGCCACCTCATAAGAGCAGGAAACACGGGTAGGTCGTGTGAAGCATGCTGTAACAGCGACATAACACGATGTACTAACTCACGATACGATACAAGCAGAGATAACTTGCTCAATAACGGGTTTGTTTGTTTTGGTAGGAAACTTTAACAATGACAACCAAGAAGCCGCAGAGCTTGCTCCGTGAAGCGTCTCATCAGATTATAGCGGGGGGATCCGCAGGTAAGTCTGCACGTTTTATTTCTGCTTCTTACAACGATTGATTATGTACTAGTTTAGGTAGTTTGCACGCTGCTAAATGTATGTAGCATAGCAACAGTGTTACCGAATAATCAAATGTATGCTGTGGCGACACGTTCACCTTCCCAAGAGACTAGAGGCACAGAAACGTTACGGGTTTTAATCACACACGCGTAATCATTAACCGAATAAATTATTTGGGTCACCTGGATCAAAGATGATATACGTGAGAGCAAGATAGTTCACACTCTGCAAAACTGCAGTGTTCCCGGAAGAGCCAAAGGGGAAGGGCAATCAGTCTGCGCATGCGTACAGTTCAAGGATTCAAAGGCTTTATTGTCATATGCACAGTAGCTACAGTGTAGAAATGGCAATGGATAGCTTAAGTCCCAAGCTCCTACAACATTGCAACCTAATTATTTAGGACATTAACGATTAAACACATAAAAAAAAATATGTTGCAAAAAGAGAAGATAAGTTAGAATATTATAGTGCAGATTTTGTTGCAAGACCAATGTGCAAGTAAACTATATACTTGTCAGGAAAATAAATAAATACAATAAGCTAATAATGCAGAGAATGTTGTAGGTGAACAGGTAAATGCAGGAGTCTATAAACATGTGAATCAAGTAAGATAAACAAGAACAGAGAGTACAATTAAATTAAATGCTGTTCATTGTAGTGATAACTCTTTTGATAAATAGATTGTAAGATGCAAAGGTATGACAATATATTGTGCAATGTGACTTATAGCATCTATTTTTATTATACTGTACTTAAGGACACATTAAGGGAACCTTTAGCCTCCTATAATTGTGTTTCCATTTCAACACATCTTTATATTTATAATTCAAAGGGGACTAATATTATAATTATTCTGTACAACATTGTTTTGAAAGGTTAAATTACAAAAGTATTACAAAAACCACCAGACTCAGGGACAGTTTCAACCCACAGGCCATAAGACTATTTAACACCTGAGCTTGCACAAATGTATTTGTATTTGTTGATGTCTTGTAAATTGCACTGTTGAGGAACCTGCTATCTACATTTTTCACACATTACATAATTACACCATAGTTGTGTCTATGTTATGACAATAAACCGTTGAAACTTGAATTATCACCACATGCACAACACATTGTACTGTACAATAACATTTGACCCTGTGTGCCCTACTAGGCAGGCCTGCATCTCCCAATAATTAGTACAATATTGAGATACTTTTCTTAAGTATATCCATTATCTTACTATCCTACTTTATACTTCTAATCCACTATCAGAGGCACATTTTGTACTTTTTACTCAATTCACTTATCTAACAGCTATAGTTAGTTGTTATATTGGTGGTATTAGGAATTAGATACAATTATTTCTGCCTATGTTACAGTAATGTACGTCTTTTGGACTGTGTCTCTCTTTACATTGCATATTCTTTGTCATATTGTGAACCTTTGCTCAATTATTGGAGAAGTTTTCATTTTCTGCCTAAAACTACCATTTCTAAAACTGCGCTGCATTTCTTTTATAATTCAGATATTGTGTACCTTTTCATAGTATATTTGTATATTTTTTATTGTCTGTCTCTTCTATTCTATATTTAAGTTTCCTGTACATATTTGTTGTATGTTGTAGTATTCCTTCATATTTTTAGTAACCATTTTTTATTAATTCAAGCCCTCTTCCCAAGATGAAATCATTCTCATATTTTGTTGGATTTTTCTTATATTCTATGTTTATGTTTGTAGATTTTTGCAATAGGCTACTTAACAAGTATTTATATGCTTTTACAAGGTTTTATTTTTGCCCTGCAGTCAAAGCAACAGTTGCCTCTAGTTGTCGAAAAATATACACAATACATGTATTGTTCTGTTTCCGGCCACCAGGGGCAGCACTGAGCTCACCACTGCTCAGCGGCAGCACCTGTTAATAGAGTGGCGAAGTCAATGAGGAAGAATTCCTGCGCAACTTTTGATTGTTTGTTTATTTTGACTTCAATTTGAAGTTGCCCCCCCGTATTGGGATTAATGAAGTGTTTTGTGACTCTACTCCGGTCTGACATCGTGTGTTTCCTCTTCACAAGACATCAAAATGTTCTCTTCGACCTGGTGAGTTTGTATTATGAATATTCTTCCCTAACGGTTTTTAAACGGCTGTGTAACTGACATTGCTATGCTAACACTAATTATAATGAGATAACAGTTACACCTCTGTTGGTTTAGAGATTTCCACTAATTTGAGTCTTGTATTTGGAAAAATATGGGACTTGTGAAATGTTTTAATGATGACGCAACTGCTGTAATGTTGTAGTACTCAAAATTGTTTGGTTTATTTGAAGGTAGTGCTCCAGCAATTAAGACTTTTGGCTAATTTGAAGCTTATGTACTAGCACTTTAAACTTTTGGCTAACTTGAAGCTAATGCACTAGCACTTAAAATGGTTTGGCTGATTTGAATCAAAAATACTTGCGAAAACTACTTGCTGTTCTGAATTTTGAATCTTCATGGTTGATTTTACTCGCATTAGAGCCTTTTTGTGCTTCTTTGTTTTTTTTAATATATCAGGCGTGAATATAGCTTGAAACCTATTTAATGTAAACTTACAGTATTGGCCATCTGAGGCTTCCCTTTTGAAACGTATACATCACCCTTTTAACTACAAAACACATCACGGTATAAGCGGACTGGCCATTGGGAATACCGGTAGTTTCCCCGGTGGGCCGGTGCTGTGCGTGGGCCGGAGGGCCAAACATTTTTTTTTAAAAATAAAACAAATAAATAATATATATTGTTTTGCCTAAATCCTACCGGCCCACATTTGCAAGTGTTCCGGCCACTCCCTGGAGGGGTGTGGTCCACACCCCACTGGGCTGGGCTGGGCCGTTTTGATATGCTACCTATGTTCTATCTATCAGATAGTTTCACTTTCACACATCAGGCCCGTAGCAGCTGTCACTGCGCAGTTAACGATCAGGAGTGAGTGACTGAGAGACCTAGCTGGCAGTTGCTTACAGATGGATAAACAAGCTCCAAAGCCTCAAGGCGTTTTTGTATAGTTTGTGTATACAGTATTGTAGAGAGGGAGGGGCTTGAGAGGGAGGGGC